TGTAACGTCTTCGCTGTTAATCAGCAAATAACGATAGAAAAAAAAATCAGCAAATAGTAAAAAAAAATTAAAATCCACTATCTTTTGAGCTCTACTAAGAGTGACCTCTAGTGACAGCAAAACAATATCGACATGTCTCGTATACGACTAAATGGCCCTATTTATACCTCCAGAAGTGTTTCAGTAACCACTGTTGCCCAATGACGCCTTTTTAATTACAACCCGATTTATAGATGTCAGTTCCTTTGCTCGTTGATTATTTATGAAAAAGATGTCATTACTTAATGAACTCTCCATCCTGCATTTTGTAGATAGAATTTCAAAGAGTGTAACCATATTTTTTTGTACATTTAAACAACTCTTGGTGTCACTAGAGGTCACTCTTACGTGCACGGAACGGTAAAAATAAGTGGTTTTTAATTTTTTTAACTATGACGTATGCTTCCGAAAAATCTGAAACAATTATGAGTTAATAAACATGGCAGTCAGCTTCTACTGTAAAAATATAAATGTTGTCATTTGATAACTTTAATAAAAAACTAGCATTTTAAATGTTATTTAATTTTGTAAAAATAGGTTTTTCATTCTAAAAATCTGAAAAAATTCTTAGGTATGTAACACTCTGGCTATAGTATCTCAGATTTTTTCATAATTTTTTATCGGATAGAACAAAAGAAAGGAAGCATGAAATGAAAATTATGTTTAGGTCGATAACTACCCTAATAATAGGGGTAGAAAGCTAAAACTTTGTCGAAATGGTTTTCCTAGGAATCTCTTTCAATTCACGTATCACACGTTTCATTTGGTTTAGCGGCATTTTTACCGTGCTTATTAGGCTTGATTCTTTTCACATTCTCCAGTCTTCCGCAAAACTTACTTTTTTCGGTTTCAGTTCACTTTCCATTATTGAGACAATTGCAGTACTAATTGTAAGAACATTTAATAGCCTCAAAACATCGGCACACTGTTTGATCCGAAATAAAAAATATAAAACACGAAGAGCTTATTCTACTCTGTACCTCCCTGAGCATGTAACCTATTGGGTTTTGTAAGATAAGAGAAGGCCGCCTTACGCACTGCGACTAGTCGCCAGCGACTTGAAGTTTCAACTGGGCAACTGACCGTGGAGATTCTGTACCTCCCTGAGCATGTAACCTATTGGGTTTTGTAAGATAAGAGAAGGCCGCCTTACGCACTTGCGACTAGTCGCCAGCGACTTGAAGTTTCAACTGGGCAACTGACCGTGGAGATTAAGGCCCGATACACACTAGCGGTCCGTTTCCAGTCCGGTCAAATATTCTTCTATGGCAGAGGCGCTTAACTTCTTGCTCACGAGCAAATTTTCCCTTCCGAAGTTCCCCCACTATGTGGTACGAACACGCAGAATGTGTAACATAAACCAACGGCAGTCGCTGGAGTTGTGGTGGGAGGACTCCTCGCGTCCTCCTCCCACCTCGACGCAATTGGAGCGAGACCATCTCAGTCGCATAGTGGGGGAACCTCGGGAGGAGAAATTTGCTCGTGAGTAAGAAGTTAAACGGCTCTGCTCTAGGAACTTATGTACAAAAGGTCGCACTGCCAAAAATTTGTTATAACAACAGGGATGTGATTCTCAAAATTAAAATCTCCCTTTCATTAGAGTTTGGGTTACTTTTACATAGAGAAAATAAGAATATCATACGGTTAGTCTAAGACAGAGCTGCTTAACTTCTTGCTCACGAGCAAATTTCCCCTCCCGAGGTTTCTCCACTATGCGACTGACAATGAGATCATCTCGCTCGAGTTGCGGCGCGGTGGGAGGACGCGAGGAATCCTCCTACCACACTCCAGCAATAGTTTTTTGGTACGAAATGACTGGTACGAACACGCAGAATGTGTAACATAAACAAAAAGCAGTTGCTGGAGTTGTGGTGGGAGGACTCCTCGTGTCCTCCTCCCGCCGCGTCGCAACTCGAGAGAGACCATCTCAGTCGCATAGTGGGGGAACCTCGGGAGGGGAAATTTGCTTGTGAGCAAGAAGTTAAGCGCCTCTGTTTTATGGTTTAGAACCATTTTTGATGATATTTCTTTTTCATTCGCATCACAAAAGATGGAACTTTCTAAGAATATTTTTAATTTTATTGTACGCACTCCCTTTCAATCTGAAAATTGTAAATAAATTTTTGTTTTGGAAAAACGAACCCTTACTCAGGTAAGGTTAAAAATCTTACAAAAATATATGGTGAAATAATGATGAGTTTATGTCATCATTTTGTTGGTTTCAACGTTACTAACAAACGATAACATGTTGAAAGTCGCGAAAACAACGAATTTTTAGCCAAACATAGATGTATAAACTAATTTATATTTCGAGAGCAAAGCGGGATTGGCCGTGACCGGACCAGGAGTGGACCACTTGTATGTATCGGGCCTAACTGGGCGACAGTTGTTGGTATCGCAGGGAGACAGTCGAGCAGTATAAATGCTGAGGAGATTGTCATAATTATCAACTGCTATAATGAAACAATAAAAAGAAGAAGAAGCAATACATACTGAGTGCACCTTTTGTGCGACAACGCCACAACAAGGGAATGTTCGCTGCATTTTTCAAAAGATGCAAGAAAATATGAAATCAAAGTTTTCAATTTTGTAAATATGTGAATAAAATAATTTGATGATTTATTAAAAACATTAAGACATGGGTGGTTCTTGTTCGCACTTTTGAAAGTAACCAGGTAATGTTTCAAAATTACGTCTGGATTGTTTCTGTCATGTCAATGGTTAGCATTCTTTTCCACGAGTCTAGTCGTCCAGAAAGTTTGTCATCGTAGAAAAGCGTGCATTTAAATTAATGCACCTTATTAGTTGTTCGTGCGTCAATCATATTTTCGTAGTCGCCGACAACTTGCTAGTTGCAGCAAATTCGTGCGTTAGCTCTCATATCTCTGATGAACGGGAAAGAGAATATAAGTCAAATTTTGGTCAAATAGGATAAGTACGCTAACACATTCTACATTGCTGTCCATTGCTTATGGTTCTAATAGTACAAGTCAATTTCACTTCTTTCAAGCTCTTCTACCTGAGATTTTAATAGTATATGTTAAAATTACAGTATAATAAGTATAATAAAGTATATAATAAGTACTTCTCTGCAAAACTAATAATTCTGATTTGTTAGACTCTTTTGCCCACCAGAGATATGTATATTCTCATGCACCTAATAGTAGTTGGCGACTTACAGTCGCTGACGACTAGTTGCCAGTGCGTAAGGGGCTTAAATGTCTTTTGTTCTGGTAGTATACGTGAACACGATAAGTGAACTTACACGCTAGTTAACAAAAGACGAATCGGCACTCGTGTTAATTGTCGCTATTGCTACATGTATTTTTAGCAGATAAATGTACAAATGAAGCAATTTAAATAAATAAGTGTTGTAATGTAATCATTCATACATAATCCTTCTATCTTTTCTATTATTGGGTTGGTGCATGTGAAATTGTCGATCGCAGATAAAGTAAAAGTTCCTTTGTTTATGATGAGGATAACATAACAATTGCTCATGCTGGCTAGCAAAAATGACAAAAGACAAGCATTATTCAGTCTTTAGGAAGAAATCAAAGAGTTGAAAAGTAGTTATATTGTTGTAGTTGTATATTTTTGAAAAGATTCGAAGTAGAGTAGGACAATTATATTTTGAGTTCAAAGGCGGACTCATTGTTTGTGCAGCTGAAACAGCAAGGCGAATAAACGATCAATTAGGGGAAATAATTATCTCTGAAAGGATCATTAGAAATTGGTTTGAAAAATTTTGTTCTGGCATGCACGATTTCAAAAAGGAAGAACGTGGAAAATCGCTTATTGGTTCTTGAAGTTTTGCGACAATTTGTAGAATTTGATGTTCACCAAAGGCTTGATAAATGTTACTGAAACTCAAAGTTTGTCAATTATTTGCATTAAATAAAATAGTTAAGAAGAAAAAAATATTTTTATTCACACTTCCTTATGCGGAATGGCAAATTTTATATGTACTAACCTAATAAATGATAATACTGTAGGATCGGGGCCTCCATACCCAAAATAAGGAACATACCAACGAAGAAATATAGAAAGGGCGACTCTATAATATATTAGTAGGTTGAGTCATAAGTTCTTGCCTAGTTTGTACATAAAGTTTATTCATTCCATAAAAGTTCCAATGTATAGTCAAAGTAAAGTTCATTGTGTTTTATGATCTTAAACCATCTTTCTGCTAATTGCATTTATGATTACCTCTATGTACCAAGAATTCCTGGACTTTAGTTTCAACTTATTCTTAATCGATACTCTTTTCATGCCTACCACTTAAAAAATTTGTCATCAACGAGAAGATGTGATAATTGGGAGGCACAAGATGGAATACTAACACAATTTTATTCAGATTCTAAATTCTGTGTTTAATTATCTGTGCTGTATGTGGAGATGTATTATTGGGTGGCAGTAATACTTACTTTTGGTTAAACAAACCCAAACCGGGTATTTTTCTGACAGAACCACGTACATCTGGTTTATTTGTGTAACATAGAGAATGGCGATAATGCTTACAACATTTGAAACCAACTGGTTCGAACATTATAATCTCATAAACTGGACAAGAACTTATGTGACTTACCCTAGTATTTGGAATTTCACTATCATATGCTTTTATCAAACATTGTTTCAGAACAATATTTAGATATTAAAGATATGAATTTTTGTGTTAATTAAGGCTACCTGTATAATCATTCATAATTGATTAGCAAGTACCAAAATTGGTCATAGGAATATTCTGCGTGTCAAAAAAATAGACCAGACACTAAGCATAAATTATTTGATTTGAAATATAAGTAAAGTTTTTGTTCCTTTGGAATCTTTATGGCGTATACATATTATTGAAAATAATAATATATTTAATGCAATTGTTTATGCGTACAAATATTCAACGACAGCACTCACGGTAATGACATAGCTATATAAATTACTAATGAAAATTTTGATCTGATCAGATTACCTAGAGCATCAGATGCACCGGTTGTAAGCGGTGGATCCATTTTCTCCTGGGGTACAAAATTTAAATATACTGGAAGAACAGAGAAAGAGGTTCTAGAAGAAACGGGTCCACTTCGGAAAGAGGAACCACCTATACAGCGATGTCAAACTACATGTCTTAGAAGAAAAGCTAGCAGCGTACCAGCCACTCCAAGTACCCCTAGTCAAGATCTTGTTGAAATAAGTTAGTATTTCCACTTTCTATTATCAACTTCATACCATGTATATTATCCCCTTTAAGTAAATTATAAAATTACAAACTCTCACAGCTGCTCTCCTGAAGATTTTAATGAAATTTGACATTTCTTATAAACATTCAAAATTAGATCTAAATATACTATGAAGTTTTTACAGTTTTTTACAATCAATAATAGGATGTACCTTCTCTAGAGCAGGGTCAGTGTTTGAATCAATAAATAATATACATTTTTCACTTATATTTTAATTGATAAAGTTTGGTACCATAAATCCTTATGATATTTAATAGTATGTATACAGGGTGTTTTCAATATGTGAGACACACTTCAGCAATGGATACAAAAATGAAATGAGAACACAATTTGACCTTGTTCAAGTTATAATCATTTTTGTACTCTAATAATTCTTAATCACAAACTGACAGTGAACTATGTATTAGGTTGTGTATTAAGTTTGTTTGCGTTTCTTCGCAAGAAAATGAAATACTTCTAATTTTGTATAAAACTTACCTAATCAATGATGTATTTACCGTTTTGTTCTATGACCTGTTATCTGTTAGGTAGTTTGAATATTCCTTCACTGTAAAAGCTTTTAGTTTTTTCATTAAAAAGTTCGGTATACATATTTACATCTTTGATACTTTTAAACTTCTTTTCATTAAGAGAATTTTGTAATATTCTCAATAAACGAAAATCCGATGGAGACAGATTTGATGAATATGGTGGGTGGGATACAACATCCCAACCAAATTGTAATATTTTTTATCGTGACGATAAAGATGTGTGTGGTTGTGCATTGTCGTGGTGGAAGGTAACTCCTTTTCTTGACATAAGTGATGGCTGTTTTTCTGTTATTGCTGCTTTTAAATAATTGTCTCGTTTTGTGGTAAAAATTCATAATAAAGGATTCCCTTGTAATTCCACCGACACCTTTTTATAGTGCAGTTCAACTTTACTGGTGGCTAAAAGCGTTTAACCTAACTTGGACCAATGTTTTTATCTTACATTATTAAAAACTATCCATTTTTCGTCTCCATTAAGTAATTGTTTCAAAAATGGGTGACTTTTGTGTCGCTTTAACAAGAAATCGCAAACTGAAATGCGGTCGACCAAGTTCTCTGTTAATTTCTGCGGAACCCAAACATCGTACTTATTTGTCATTCCAAATTTTCTTAAATTTAACGAAACAGATTTATGTGAAATATTTAATATGTTGGCGATCTCTCTTGTTGTACATTTTGGATTTCCTTCGATTAAGTCTGCTAACTACTCGAAGTTCGTACCGCCGCGCCGTCGACGCGAACGAACTTTTTATATAACCTAATACATAGTGTGGAGTGGTTGATGGTGTCGTCGAAGTCACTCCGAAGATTGTTTAATATGCTTTATTTATAATAATACTTTTACAAAGTGACGTTGTGGTTCCTTAGATTTTTAACTTAAGACTTAACTTCCCTTGTTTGGGCCCAGTATTTATATGGGGCTCTACTGGAGGGGATGGACGCTGTGGAATGCGCGTGGGGTAGGGAAATTTCGGAAGAGGACTCGGAAAATCGCGGTATCGGGAAAAGCCATCTTGGCGTCGGTCTGGAATACAGGGAAGGTGCCCTAATGGATCGGGCGAATTTTTAAGGAGATGTGTATCATAGGACAAGGGAAACCCATTCGCATACCACAGGTCGGGTGGCGCCTACCACGACAATGGTAATAACTTTTATTTAATTAGTGGATTCGCGGTACAAATCGCAGAAAATATACAAGATAAGGCACGACTCGGTCGGTTCAACGGTTTCACACCTTGACTCGGCCAGATTTCCCAAGGAGAGGAGGAGGTAAGAGAGAAAGAGTGAGATGGTAGAAAGGGAAGAGAAATTGTCGTCTATAACCCGCGAAGGAGACGTCTGCTCGATGTATGCTTGAGTAGTCTTGTTCGGATTTCCCAAAGGACTGACTTTCTATGTTTTTTTTTTTTTTTATTTTTATGCGATGGGGTGGAGTGAGTGCCACCTGGAGTATTTCCTCCTTATGCACTAAAAAGAATAAAGACTTTAGTTACCTTGTACAATGAAAATATGGCGTACAAACCATGCAGCGGGATGCAGAAGCAGGAAAAATTGCAAAAAACCTGCTAACAGAAAGTAGTTAGATGGGAGGGTTTGTGTGGGTCTTGAGGGATTTGGGATTGGCGCTGGGTAGGACCCAGGCCGAGGAGGGCGAAGTAGTTGCGAGGTGTTGGAGTTCAGCGGGGTCCAGACATGCAATTCCTTCGTACCAGGGGAGAGCGGACGATGTAGAAATAAATAGAACTGAAAGATAATAAGGGACAATGAAAGACAATGAAAGACAAAGTTTGCAGAATGAGTAGACAGTGTCCCAAATCAGGTCAATCCAGTGTAAGCAGGTCGAAGGATCAAGCGTTTCTGTCGTGGTTACCGGTCAGCCCCAGTGGCATACGTACCTTGGGACGGTACGGCAATTGATGCGGTTTGTAATTGGCTGTTTCTCTAATTAGGCTATTGAAATGTTTTTCCACTGAGTATCCTGCAATGGAATGCTTGATTAGAGAGTGTATATATGAGGTGTTGGTCCTAGTGTGGATATCGGCAGTGGAGTGATCCGTGGGGAGATTTAGGATGATTTTGAGGGCGCGGTTTTGGAGGCGTTGCAATGATAGGAGGTGGGTCTGGGCAGCGGTGGCCCATATCAGGGCGCCATACATCATGACAGGGCGTATGCAGGCTTTGTATATTAGTATTTTAAGGTAAGGAGGGAGTGCAGATTTGTGGCAGAGTAATGTCTTGGAGGCTTGGAGGGCTTGGGAGGCCTTTTTGTGTCTATTTGCGACAGCTGGCCCCCATGTCATTTTGCGATCTAGGGTAATTCCCAAGTAGGTGATGGTATCGTGCCATTCAATATTGGAGTTTCTGATTTGAAGGGGAGGGAGGTTCTGACTGGAGGCTATTTTGGTTTTCCTGGTGAAGAGGATGGCTTTGGTTTTTTCTCTGTTTGTGGTGAGTTTCCAGTTCTGAAGGTGGTTTTGAATAGAATCAAGTTGGTTCTGCAATTTGCGGAGTAGGTTCGGGAGTTGCCAGGAGGAGGCCATGACTGCAGTGTCGTCTGCATACAGTGCCAAATCGGTAGTAGTTGAAGATGGAATGTCGTTTATGTAGAGTAAGAAGAGGAGAGGTCCCAATACTGAGCCTTGGGGGACACCGGCTTTTATGTGGGCCAGTTGGGATTTTTCATTGGCAATTTTAACGAATGAGAGGCGGTCGGTTAGGTACCGATGAACGAGCTTGATAAGGGCGGGGTGAAGGCCTGTTTTGATTAATTTGTATATGAGTCCGTTGTGCCATACCGAGTCGAAGGCTTTTTGTAGATCTATTAATACCATAGCAGAAAGTTTGTTGGTGTTTAAGTTGTGCGCGTGATATTGTGCTACTCTTATGAGTTGGTGGGTGGTGGCGTGCTTGCTACGAAAGCCAAATTGGTGTTCTTTTAAGATGTTATTGCTTTGGATATGAGAGTTTATCATTTTGTGAATTATTTTCTCAAAGATTTTACTGGGGACTGAAAGGAGGCTGATTGGTCTGTAGTTGGTGGCTTCCTTGTGATTTTTCCCTGGCTTGGGGATGGGGATGGTTTTAGCTACTTTCCATTGGGTGGGAAAGTATGATAGGATGATGGAGGCTCTGAAGATGTAATACATTTGGATGAATACCTTGCGTGATCCGTGCTTGATCATTGCCGGGGAAATGCCATCGGGTCCAATCGATTTTTTGGTGTTTAGTTTGGCTGCTAGATTAGCTATAACCTCGGGTGAGTTGAAATGGAGGATATCAGCGGGGGAAGGAGGGATTGAGGTGTTCTTGAGTGTAGAAGCTTTCTAATTCACTGTTGATTTTGACCTGTATCGGGGAAGTGACTTTGTATGCTTGGTCGTGAACGGACTGAAAGTGTTTTATGAATGCTTCGACTTTTTGTGAGTCGAGAGCCAGGGGTTGGCCGCCTACGTCGGTTAGTGTGGGGATTGTTGATCTGTTTTTGGTTGTCTTTTTGTAGAGAGGCCAGAAGGTATGGTTTGCTGTGTTTGCATTTTTTATTTGATGCTGGATTTCGTCCGCTTTAAGTTGGATGATTTTTGTTTTAATAAATTTGGACAGTTGGGTATAGTATTGTAAGAAGATAGGGTTTCCCGTTCTCTGCCATTTCTTCCTGGCAGTGTTTCTAAGAGTGATCGTGTTTTTTATTAGTGGATCGGGGGGGACAAATCTGTTGTTGGAGGGTACTAATTCGGTGGATTTCCGGTGGCATTTTTTAAGGAAGCAGTTTAGTTTAAGGATGGCGAGGTCTACTTTTTCTTCGTTGTCTAGGTTAGTGTCGAGGGTGAGTTTGGTCGTGTGCCTGTGGTAGTTTGCCCAGTCAGTTATCGGTGTTGAGGTTGTAAGGTTGACGCTGTGTGGGTGGGTGGGAAGTTTAGTGAGAAGGACTGGCCGGTGATCCGACTGTAGGTCGTCGGTCGCTAGAGTCTGAAATCTAGAGGCGCTATTGGTAATGAAGAGGTCCAGAGTGGAGGGTAGCTGGTGTGGTGCGTGGTGGGTGAAGGAGGGGGGAGGGGTATATTATGTCGTAGGTTGCTTGATCAGCATGGGCCCTGAGGGTGGATCCGTTTCTATTGTAGGAATGGTTGTTCCAGGATTGGTGTCAGGCATTGAGATCAAGCCCAGCTATGAATGTGTTCCGCCGGCAGAAAAGCTTGTTTAGTGCATCTGGGGATAATCTGTCCTTTGGGGGACAGTATGCTGAGATAAAGATTAAGTTAAGAGAAGTTACTTTGACGGCGATGGCCTCAACTTTATCTATGTTTGGGAGTGAGAATGGGACGAAGTTCAGGTTTTTGTGGACTATGATTGCAACGCCTCCTCGGCCAGATCCGTCAGGTCTATCGCGCCTGGAGATATTGTAGTTTTGGAGGACTGTGATCTTG